TTTTAGGTAGGTGTGGCTAACTCTTAACTTTTATAAAGAATATCTCTGGATTTGAGACTTTAGTCTTTACAACTTTACAGATCTTTTTGCACCAAGAGCTTGTAACACTCCAAATAGAAAGGACAAAATGAAATCGCATCATATGACCCCTTTAAGATGTTTTTCATTTCAAAATGTTGCTTCTGGCTAAAATATGAGTCCTCTATCCATAACATTAATATCTCCAGTGATAAAGTCATCAGGTTTAAATCAGAACATTAACATGCAGATCATACCCTTTACAATCAAAAACAGTCCAAAACGCTTGTCAGTGGATTTTGATGTGAGAGGACAACAAGATATGGACTTTTTCACTGGAGGAAAAGTTATTATGGACTCATATTTTAGCCAGAAGCAACAGTGTAAATTTAAAGTTCCTTAATGCTGGATTTGTTTCTTACAAACACTTCTCAGCTTTTCGCTTCACAAGAAGTTAACTGATGAACTGGAGTCATGTGGATTACTTGTGATGTAAAGGACAAGTCTTGAGGTCTTACCCCATTGTTTAAAATACACTGGTAATGGACAGGTTTATTGAGACCTTACTCTTTTGTGTAAAACACATTGGTTATTGTATTTTGTTTTATTATTTCACTTCTTTTCTGTGAATGCACACATGTATTTCTCTTCTGTAAAGCACCTTGTAAACACTGTTTTAAAAGGTGCTATAAATAAAGCATTACTTACATTTTTCAGCTGTTTGGACTCTCATTCTGACGGCACCCATTCACTGCAGAGGATCCATTGGTGAACAAGTGATGTAATGCTACATTTCTCCAAATCTGTTCCCATGAGGAAACAAACTCCTCTGTCTCGGATGGCCTGAGGGTGAGTACATTTCCAGCAAATTTTCATTTTGGTGGGAAATATTCCTTTTGTGAACAAATTTAACAAATGTTGCATAATGCAGAACATAATGTGATATTAGCAAATATTAGCATGCAAGTGTTACTGTACAATGCCATTTATGAACTGTGAAACCATTAGAAGTATTCTCACCCCTATGACAAAGGTCCTGACACACGGTGTGCGGTTTTTGTTGGCACAGCTGCTGTGGATGGTGTATTTGCAAACTAGAAATCAATACAAGAAGAGGGGCAACACTGACAATGTCAATAAATTACAAAAAAAGCCACAAGTAAGGGCATATACAAAGACAATTGACAAGGGTATTCTTATTATGCTCTGAAATCAGATAAGATAAGGCCGTACATAATATTCAGTGTTAAAAGCCCAATGTCCTTCTACAGTAATAATGAATATATACTAAATGCTGGGGCTCTTGAAATGGACTATGGATATAAACAACTGTTTACTGAGAGAACTGAGAGAATATGTATAAAGGCCCATTCACACCAAAGACAAAACCTATGAAGATAACCATTGTTCTGATATGGTTCTGAAAGATACAGTTATATTGATATTGTTCTAAATGTAAAAGAATAGTGAAGTCCACACACCACAACTATAATGTTACCAGCACAGATGAACGATACCATTCGAATCATTTTTTACCAGAGGATGAACACTGACAGCCAATCAGAATCCATTCTGCTTTAAAGCAGCACTATGTAACTTTTGGCTCTCTAGCGGTTAATAAACAGAACTGCACACATCCCGCGGAAGAACATTCCAACCGGAGCTACTTCTCTAAGATTATGTCTGGCGATTCACGCAGGTATGTGTTACTCCGCAGCGGTGACGACCCGACCAGGCTACAATAGTCCAAATATAAGTACTTATTATAAGTGTAACGTAGTGATTCGGAATAAGACAAAAACGCGGTTTGGAAGATTAATTCATGATGTACTCGCTCATTATATACATTTTGCAAATTTTGAACAGAAAAAGTTACATAGTGCTGCTCTAAAGAGCTCGAGCATTTAAAGCGACAGATGACAAAACAGCAACATGCTTATAATGAACAGAACGTTGGTCTGGATGATAATATATAGTTATCTTATAATTATTTTTATACATAGTTAACATTCTTGGTGCTTAAAGCTGTACATTGATATAAAATAAATATGCTCATGAATTAAATTAAAAAGATTATGATTAGTAAACTCACAGTTGCATGACAAGCCCTGTTTTCTTAGGCCCTACATCATGTTCTGAGAGACAAAGCAATATGTGGGCCTGTTGAAGTTCTTCAGCCGCCAGACATGTTGGCCATCTTTTTCAGCTACCTGAAGATAATGTTTAAAAGTTTTTTAAACTTAAAAGTTTAAGTTTTGATATATTTACGGTAGGAAATGTACAAAATATCTTCGTGGAACATGATCTTTACTTAATATCCTAATGATTTTTGGCATAAATTTTGACCCATGCAATGTATTGTTGGCTGTTGTATACCCGTGATACTTATGACTGCTTTTATGCTCCAGGGTCACATACTGTATAATGAATTCCACACCATATGACAACATTGGTGTATGATTACATATATATATATATATATATATATATATATATATATATGTATGTGTGTGTGTGTTCCTCTCCAGTTCTGTCAGGTTGGCTGTCCACCAACGTTTACCATCCAACCTGGCAGAACTGGAGAGGATCTGCAAGGAGGAATGGCGGAGGATCCCCAAATCCAGGTGTGAAAAACTTGTTGTATCTTTCCCAAAAAGACTCATGGCTGTATTAGATCAAAAGGGTGCTTCTACTAAATACTGAGCAACGGGTCTGAATACTTAGGACCATGTGATATTTCAGTTTTTCTTTTTTAATAAATCTGCAAAAATGTCAACAATTCTGTGTTTTTCTGTCAATATGGGGTGCTGTGTGTACATTAATGAGGAAAAAAAATTAACTTAAATGATTTTAGCAAATGGCTGCAATATAACAAAGAGTGAAAAATTTAAGGGGGTCTGAATACTTTTCGTACCCACTGTATATATATATATATATGACAAAGCTTATTTACCTTTAATCCAAGCAAAACCAGTACAGGAATGTTGTTCAAGCTACCTTGTATCCATTCTTGTTGGGTTACAGTACCACTGCTGTCTATGGCTTTCTGCATGTCTCTAAGCACCTAAAAAAATGAACAATGTATAAAAAGTCCAAGACTACAATTATTCGACACAGAAGTCAAATATTTACTGTATGCAGACGACTTGCTAATTCTATCTAAAACACCAGAAGGTCTCTAGAACAACCTTGACATTTTAACTAAATACTGCCATGATTGGACCTTAGAAGTCAACATCCAAAAAACTAAGATTATGATATTTCAGGAAAACAAAAACAGAAATCTAGAACATAAACATATATTTACTTTAAACAACACCACACTTCAACATGCTTTACAATATATTTATCTTGGTCTGGTTTTAACTCCCACTGGAAATTTTAAATTGGCAATTAAAGGGGTCATATGATGCGATTTCAAGTTTTCCTTTCTCTTTGGAGTGTTACAAGCTGATTGTGGATAGATAAGATCCCTGAAGTTGCTATAAAAGCCCGCAGGGCACTGCATGCCATATGAACGAAATTATTCAAAATAAACACCCTGTTGTTTAAAAAGAATGATGATTTAGCAGAGAAGACCCATGTTATAGAAAGAGAAATGTATGATATGGTGATTAAAGATTTTGATTTTGAAGGTCAAAAAATTGTATAAAACATATGGATGGATGAACCATTCACAATTAGCACAGTAAAAATAAAGATCGAGTCCGATTTACTGTGTGCCAGCTTAAAAAGTGGCACTGTATGCCATCTTCAAAGACAGCTTTACGTAGTATTGACTGAAACCTGTATCCTATTTCCCAGTGATGGTACTCTGATGAGGAAAGAGTTTGATAGAATGTGGTGTGGAGTCATCCATGGCAGATGAATTCAGATATTAGTACTTTTGTTCTCTGTAATGCTGCTTTGAAACAATGTACATAACATGACAAGAGTTACTTGTATGTATGAACTTACTGGCTTTAGTTATCACATCCCATCCAAGGTATTCTGCAGCGTGCATCATCTGTGTAACAATTGTCAACTTCCTTTTAAACAAACACAGAAAAAAAACGTATCATTTATTATAATAAATATTTTAAGAGGAGATCACTGAACATGTTAGCCGGCTAATTTGAACCTAAGCAAGCTACAATGGGAATTAAGAGCGTAGCATTACATAGAAATATCAAAATATACATAGACCTATCAAAAAGGTATGCCAGTTGTTACCTTGCTATCAAGAAGTCCATTCATCTTTACCATATAACTTGAAGGTGTCTGCCAAATAGGTGTTAATAAATACTTAGCATGTATAGACTACATTCAACTACACTTGAAAACAAATGGCAAGTTTATATAATAATTTAGATTATTAAAAACTGATTCAACTCATTTTACATTATATGTGGTATTAGTACATAGTATTAGTGATATTATCTACTAGAGATTTAAAGTCAATGAATGTCTTACACTCTAGTTTGTCTCGTGGATTTCCATCCTCCAATATGGAAAAGTAAGAAGATACAGCTTTAAGAGAGACACATCCTGAAAGAGGAGATCAAAGATTGGCAGCAAACAAATAACACTCAAATTCAAAGTAATGATCACCACAACAAATAAAATAACCTGGATTTCACTTTTTTCTGATTTTTGCAGCCCAAAATGACTCCATTTGCTGCAGCTTTTCTCTAAAATTTGGTTGATATTTATGGCATTTTAACTGGTAACTGATTATATTTGACTACTTTTCTAAATTTCTAATGAATGTTTTTAACTGTTAATCATTTTCAAATATTTTATGCAGGCAGGGTTAACGTCAGAATTGCATCACTTTACTAAATGGCCTTTAAATGGCAGGAGGCATCGTGCACATCAAAAACAGGCAAAGGAGCAAATTAATTTTATTCAACATATCCTAGCTTTTTACAGGAAATATTCAGATGTAACCCCCTTTGTAATCTTTAACATTTTCTTAAGTAACTGTAATTTAATTACATTTTTTTTTTTCTTAGTAACTGTAATAGATTACAGTTACATTTACTTTGTTATTAAATTAAGTAATCCAGTTACATTTAACTAGTTACTCCCCAACACTGGTGAAAACCCACAAATAATCATTATGCACGTGTGCAATTTAATGTTAGTGACAGTAAGAACACAATTACCTAATTTAAATATATTTTTGTCCATAATTACTGAAAAATGTATTTCATAATACAGAAGTTATAGATGCAGATGCTTGCACGCTGTCACTGATTATATATTTACCTTTTGTACCTACACTGAACAAAATTATAAACGTAACACTTTTGTTTTTGCCCCCATTTTTCATGAGCTGAACTCAAAGATCTAAGACTTTTTCTATGTACACAAAAGGCCTATTTCTCTCAAATATTGTTCACAAATCTGTCTAAATCTGTGTTAGTGAGCACTTCTCCTTTGCCGAGATAATCCATCCACCTCACAGGTGTGGCATATCAAGATGCTGATTATTTTAAATGATGAATTAATACTGTTTTCACTGTTTGAAATTGCATTGTCAGGTATTGCATTTATTCAAAATATTAAAAAAGTGCATGTGCAGTAGAACATTATTATCTTGTCTTGTGCAATATAATAGGTAAACAAGGCGTTAGATCTCTCATGAAGTTTGGATGTGAAGAGGTTTGGAACAACATTGAATGAATGAATGAATTTGTTTATTTATTTATTTATTCATTCATTCATTCATTCTGGGTGTGAACTATCCCATTTACACTAAGTTATATATTTTAAGTTATATAGGCTACTTTAAATTTAACCAAAATCTGGCTAAATATCAAACAATCACCCCCCAAATTTATTATATCATTTTTAACGTGATGCTTATATTATTTATGGACAAATTAACTATTGTGGGAGCCATTGTTAAGCTTACATCTCCAAACCTGTGGTGGACCAGCTTTCCACCTGAATGAAATTCCTTCATTGCATCTTTTGCCTTTATCCTGCTGTCTAGGAAATTCAAAACAAAGAAAAACAAAGAAGAAAAAAAACAATTATAAAATTAAATAAAAAACAAACAAATAATAGCAACCTTTTGTCAGATATTTAACTAGAATATTCTGCCAAAGGCTGTTCCATGATTTATCTTGTTATTCTATCATGTATGAGTCAATGAAGAATTATGTCTCATAATATTCTGGATGTGGTGATTTTATGAAAGACACTTATATTCTATATACTCCTGCAGCTGAATGAAGTCAACGGGGCTAATCTCATTTTCTAAATCAGATTCTGTGGCCATTTTGTTTATCCTAAATCACTCAACCTGAGAAATAAGGACGAAGGTCTATATTCATAATGAATATATGAATGTACTGCACAACTACTAAATAAGAAATTAAACAACGACCTTTTTGTGGCAAACTGCTTTAATATTTGGTGTGTTGATTACAAGACATCTTTATTTCCACAAGTGAATAATTTCTGTAACATGTGCTATATTGACACTGTGCTGAAAGTTAATGTAGATTTTAGACGGAGAAAGGTCTATATTCATAATGAATATATGAATGTACTGCACAACTACTAAATAAGAAATTAAACAACAACCTTTTTGTGGCAAACTGCTTTAATATTTGGTGTGTTGATTACAAGACATCTTTATTTCCACAAGTGAATAATTTCTGTAACATGTGCTATATTGACACTGTGCTGAAAGTTAATGTAGAAGCACAGCAGATGAGCAAAACAATGAAACAAATAAACATTAGCATATTAGTGTTATGTAAAACAACTGACGAACGCATTAAGCCAAACGTTACAAAATCTAAGAATTCGTTTAAGGGACTAAATTAAATAAGACGAAGTTTTTCAAATAAATTAATAAACAAATCCCGAGTTGCTCCAATTTATGAATTTCTAATTTGGATTGCGCCTCCGAACTATTTTCACATCTGAATTTGCCCAGCGATTTAAAGTTGACTCTTTATGGTGTGACAACGTGTGCATTTCATATAATAACTATTTCAAAACGCACCCTAAACACACTTATTTTAATTAATCTTACCTTAAAAAGTCGAATGAATGAGGGATTAAATGCACGCTTATAACGCGTTAAATGCAGCCTAGATATCTATCATATGTGGATTTAACACGCATGTATATTACAAATTATTATTTAGTCATTTAGCAGATATATAATATTAATAATAATAATAATAATAATACAAATATTTCACAAGAAGGACCGTGCAGCTCAAGTCTAAAATGTATCTGTAAAAACATGAATATTTTTCACATAAATCTTACACATTTTCATTTAACTCTTGCAGATCATTCAACTTTCAAATTATGCATACGTTTGGGTTTGAACTTGTGCGGGGTCGTATACGTGTGGATAACTACGTCATGACGTACGGAAAACATTGCGTCATGACGTTTTTATGAAAAAACCGTCAACCACTGTAAGCGGTAGTTGAATGTCCACGTTAACTGTGATGATTGACAGCTGTCAGAACATTTCGCGCAGTGAGTCTGTTCAATATCATTCACACAAAGTGTTGCAGATGACGAGAAATAGTAGGCTACTATTAAAACAGAAAAGGCAGCCATAGCTCAGTGCTAACCAGTAGGTGTTTTCATTAGTTTCCTGCTTTGCAGTGTTACACGTGCATGTGTCGTCACAGCGAAATCAATGTTTGTTTGACAAAAAAAAGTTATTCGCTTACATGCATCTTTAATTAGTATTGTCTTGCATGTGATTTGAAATAGTGAGTGTAAATGCAGCAGATGTGGACTGACATGTTGTGTATCAGTTTTTGCAGGATTTGGGCAGAAGCAGACTGATCATGAGCACAGAGACTCATGTGAAGGACGTTAAACCTGGACTCAAGAATCTCAGTGTCATCTTCATCGTGCTGGAAACAGGTGTCCAAACAACACATTACCTACATGAAGTGGAAGAACAAAAGGAAGAAAAATAATAATAATTTAACTGCATTAACATTGGATTATTTACATTTACATTTAGTCATTTAGCAGACGCTTTTATCCAAAGCGACTTACAAATGAGGACAATAAAAGCAGTCAAAACTAACAAAAGAGCAACAATATATAAGTGCAAATGACAAGTCTCTGTTAGCCTAACGCAGTACACGTAGCAAGGTATGTGTGTGTGTGTGTATATATATATATTATACACACATAAACACACACACACACAAAGAAAGACAAGTAGATAGAATAGAAGAAATAGAATAGAAAAATATAATTTTTTTTTTTAATAAAAAAGATGATAAATGTAGATGAAGTAGAATTAAAATAGAATAGAAAGTGCTAGAGTTAGAGGGTCAAATAAAGATGGAAGAGATGTGTTTTTAGTGTAGACAGAGAAGAGAAGTGGTCCAAGAACTGAGCCCTGAGGCACCCCAGTAGCTAGATGTTGCGACTTGGACACCTCACCTTTACACCTCAATCTATTTAGCAGATGCTTTTTATTTAAAGTGACCTGACCGACATATCAGGAAAACCAAAAGCATTTTTTTCACACAGGAACCAACAATAGCAACCCCACAATACTGAATTTTGGGAATAACTGGAGTGCATCTAATAATGGCTTAATGCAGTGACCTGACCGACATATCAGGAAAACCAAAAGCATTTTTTTTCACACAGGAACCAACAATAGCAACCCCACAATACTGAATTTTGGGAATAACTGGAGTGCATCTAATAATGGCTTAATGCATTGTAGTAGCTCAGTCCCTTAAAAGCAAGTACTGTGATGGTACTATAGTACAACAGTAAACACTGTAAAACGTTTTCATATTTTAATATATGCCCTAGTGTTGTATTATTTCCCTATTCATCATGCACTCATGGTAATCCTTTGAATTGTTGTACTTTTTGTTAATGGCTCCATTTGTCATTGACATTTAGTTACGTTTTAAAATATATTTAAGTATATTAATGTAGTATAAATAAAAAATCCATGAAATCTAATCTACTTTACCGCTAAAAAGACTGAAATTAATTTATAGTAATTGTATATTTTATTAACTGAAATAGTGTTAATATACCACATTACTATTTTTTAACCTATTATAATATTATGACAACCACCATTATACAGGTGGTGAAAACATGACTCTAAAATAATGCAATAAACACTGTAAATGATCATATTTTCTTTTGTGTATTTAGCTATAAATACTGTAACAGTCGAATCTCAGCAGTAGTCACCCGGACTCTGAATCAAGATCTGAACCTTCTCTCAAACTCTCTCATTCAAGGACGAGTGACGAAGACCAAAGACGGTCATGAGGTGCGCACATGTAAAGTGGCTGACAAGACGGGCAGCATCAGTATATCGGTTTGGGACGAAGTCGGTGGCCTCATCCAGGCTGGTGACATCATCAGACTTAACAAAGGGTGAAACTGTGATTGATACACCTTGAAAGTCTATCAAGCGTTTTTGAACATATGCTGACTGCTCAAAAGACGCATTCATTCTGCAATAATATAAACAATCGATTATAGTGAACAGTTTTGTAATTTTATAGTAAATATCGCTAAAACTGTTGATATACAAGACTAAAAGTATAAGTTTACAGTCTACAGAACTATTTACAGTACATTTATATTTTGCCGCAGTTATGCCTCAGTTTTTAAAGGCTGTTTGACGCTGTACACTGGAAGGGGAGGTGAACTACAGAAGATTGGAGAGTGAGTTGATTATTGATTATATTATTATTAAAGGGGTCCTATGATGCTTTTTTAAAGATCATTATTTTGTGTATTTGGTGTAACAGAATGTTTTTTTTGTTTTCGCCTAAAAAAAAAAACGCACAGCGTCTCCCTGACATGGCTGCTTCAACACTAACTGCGGTTACTGAAACCACGCCTTCTTTCTTTTCGTGCACATTTGGGCGGCATTATGCTAATATTTCCACATAGTGAGGTAGATATGTGGGGGCGTGTTAGAACGAGCCGTTTTAGGGGGGCGTGGCAGAGTCTTAACTTTGATAAAGAATATCTCTTTGGTTTTGAGACTTTAGTCTTTGCAACTTCAGGGATCTTATCTATGCACAATCAGCTTGTAATACTCCAAAGAGAAAGGAAAACTTGAAATCGCATCATATGGCCCCTTTAAAACGTAGGAAAGTGTATTGGCTACAACTAGACAGCAAATGCTAAGACTCTTCTCTGCTCTTTAAACACACAAAAACATTAGCCTTTATAGACAGCGTTTCTTGAATCAAGGCAACGCTGTACTTAATTAAACATCAGTTCTTTATTTACCCTTGCATTGTGAAGAATTAGACGTCTGTCTTCAAACTGCGTGTCGCGGCGTTTCATTCTGAATGGAGGCGGGGTGGAGTTAGGTTTGACTGACAATTTGAGCATCCAATGGCGTTACAAGGTTTAGTCACACGCTCTTTTGAATGCTTTTCATTGGGTTAAATATTTGTAAAACCCACAAACAGACATAACGATGACCAATAGCACTGATTTAAAATAATAATAACAAAATATAATAGAGATAAGGAAGTTTGAGTGTGCCGCGGCACAGTGGTTGGGAAACACTGCACTACTAGCCTATACTTTTGTAAGAATTATAAATCCTTTGGGGTTCCTAGTTATTTGATAAACCTATTTATGTAATGTATTCCTGGTCCACAGACATTTTTTACTCTTTGAAGGTAATGACACTCCCAATGGAAATGGGGTGAATTCTCAAGGCTCTGGCAACTCTGCTAATCCACAGCCGGGTGGACGAGCAAGCAGTGGAAACGGAAACAGGTCGACACCAAGTCCGGGTGTGGGAGGAAGTTCTGTGAGCAATGGCAAGGAGACACGACGAATGGTCAAAAGATGATTTTGTTCAGTAATGAATCGGCATACAGTAATAATTTCAAAATGGTTGTGAGCAGCTATTTGTCATGTCTCATTTGAAGACATGCATTGCTAAACTTTGAGCTTAATGCTTATATATATATATATATATATATATACAGTGGGTACGGAAAGCATTCAGACCCCCTTAAATTTTTCACTCTTTGTTATATTGCAGCCATTTGCTAAAATCATTTAAGTTAATTTTTTTTCCTCATTAATGTACACACAGCACCCCATATTGACAGAAAAACACAGAATTGTTGACATTTTTGCAGATTTATTAAAAAAGAAAAACTGAAATATCAAATGGTCCTAAGTATTCAGGAAATTTACAAAATATCTTCATTGAACACATTTACTTAATATTCTAATGATTTGTGGCATAAAAAAATCAGTAATTTTGATCCATACAATGGCTTTTTTTTGGACCAAATTATTGGCTATTGCTACAAATATACCCGTGCGACTTATGACTGATTTTGTGGTCCAGGATCACACACACACACATATATATACTTGTTTAACTCTATGGATTGCCCAGTCTTGTAAAGTCACATGTTTTTTTTTTAGGTATTGCTTCCTGTTTTTCTTGTTTTATGCTCTCCAGAATGAACACACTAAGCTATTATAGTTTCTAGCCCAACTTCTGATTGTTAGTCAACTTTTGATTATCAGTTTCAACATTAATAAGTTTTGTAAGTTACAGTGCCCTCTAAGACCAGAATCTGATCACATTTGATACAGTGGTGTGAAAGTTTTTGCCCCCTTACTGTTTTTTGTTTTTTTGCATATTTGTCACACTTAAAAGATTCAGATCATCAAACAAATTTAAAAATTACACAAAGATAACCCCAGTAAATACAAAATGCAGTTTTGAAATAATGATTTCATTTATTTTTTAAGTGTGACAAATATGCAAAACATTTAAAAAAAAACAGGAAGGGGGCAAAAACATTTTCACGGCACTGTATGTTTCCCGAAGATCCCCAGAAGTTTTTAATTTAGAATATTGCATGGCTGTAAATTAGCCATTATGGGGTATGGCTGACAGATTTTCTTAAAAATGAGAAGCATCCTGTGATGAGTTTTGGAAACAACTACAGCTAAACAGCTGAACATTTTCCAAGCCAGAAATGGAAAACTATGTGATCAATGATTGCAATTTGATAAGAGAGCTTCTTGGATTCCTAAAAAATCTGATGTTTCACATGAGACCCACTCCAATTTCATAAACAGTTTACATTGTAATTGTTGTCCGTCGCAAAGGGTTTTTGAAACAGAAAACCCAAATAAAAAGCTGTAAGAACAATTATTCCTAAACACTGAAAACATGCGACCATTAAAACTTTTTTTTATTTGCAGATTTTCAGCTATATTTTGCCAGAAAGTTCTGATATAAATAAAAAGGAATGGAATAAAAAACTTGATGGTTTGTTTCAACTCTTTTTTTTTTTACCTTGTTTTTTTATGCTTTGCCGATAGGACTAGGAGTGTGCCGGTATGAGTATCGATACCAAACGGTTAATGGGGCAAATTCCAAATGGAAGTGACCAGGGCACGTGCGTGCCATTATGTAGTCATTTGGAATGCACTTGGCAAAGGGAGTGACCTAATTTCCTCATTCTATTATATAGCATAGATTTTGTTCACTTGGAACCTCAACCGAGGTGGTACTGAAAAAGTACCAGGTAGTGTACCCAGTGGAAAACCCCCCAAAAGTGAACCGTACCGAATCGTACCGTGCCGTACCATGCAGTGGAAAAGCGCCATAACTGTCCCAACAGTGACACCATGATAAAGGTTGGGAGGTCATTTTCAGCCCATTTTACATTTATTCAAGTGCATGGCATGACTGAGAAAAGACAAAACTGGAAAATAATGTGAAAGACAGTGCCTCTGTTACATTATGACTGGCTGATTATCTTAGTGTGATAATGCTCATCTATCCTATTCATAATAGGTCAGCAAACTAGCCACAATGGGTCAAAGTGGAGGAATGTAGGGACTAATTGTGGAGCCAACCAATGGCTGTAACTCAGCAGCTGTAATATCAGCAATTACGTATATATACAGTACCAGGAATGAAGAATTAATCTTGGCAAGAACAGGATTAGGTACCCTGATCTACTGTATAAAGTGCTGTTGATGCGTTTTGAAAACACATTTTACAGACACTTCACGTCAGTTCACACGGTATTTCATGGTTTAAAGGCAAATGTGACTGTTCCTTAAGGCAGTTTCCCAACCTTTTTTTAGTCGCGGCACCCTTTGGAAATTTTAACAAACTTGTGGCACCCTACAAAATTAATTTTGTCACAATATTTGAATTTCTAACTTCGATATGATAATTTGAAAAGTATAGATATTCGGTACAACAGGGAAGAACTGCAGAATATAATGTCATACAGATAT